CTAGCCCACTTTGTGTTAAGTTGTTTTACTCGTCTTTCAAAGAGCTTCTCTAATTTGTGAATAATACCGCACTGCACACATCTGGTAAACAGACTGGGCTGGAGGGAGCCCAAAATAAATGTTGAAAAAAAAGATCAGAATCATGACTGAAAATATAAAAACGTTCACTAGAGCTGAAACAATCGGTGAAATAATGCAAACCAAAAGCAACCAAAACCCGTTTTGTGTATGGTGTGCCATCACCATCTTTTATTTTCAGAATATTCTCCCATAACACCATTTCCAGCCTTCTGGTAACCAAACGACAAAGGTTTGCAACCGTCATGTTCTTAGAGGATGCTGTGGCTGAAAAACAGGAGAGTGAATAAGAGCTAAGAAAACTGCTTCCTTGCTAAAGATGAAAGTTCCCCACACCAGAAGCTTCACATAAGCAAATCTGTGCAAAGTGACAGCAGGGAGCTGAAAGTTAAAAGGAGGTGTCACTAACATGACCTCATAGTTATATAACGTTATGCAATCGTCTTCAGTGTCTGTGTAGCATCAACGGAGAATTTATTATCGTGAGATCTATGTGCCTCGATGGCCATCGACGTGCAGAAGAAAGGAGAGCCCTCCAGTCTGGCAATAACAGACACTGAGCGGAGTAAACACACTGCTGCCCATCGCAGGCACTCGTCTCCTTTCAGGCTCTCACACAGACACAGAGAGGAGACCTTTAGGGTTTAAGAGTATCATCTGTCTTGCTTTCTCCCCCTGAGACTCTCAGTCACTACGTTCGTGACCAGCAGCACGTAAAATTCATCTTTTCAGAAAAGGAAGTGAGGGAGCGTGGTGGTGTTTAAACCCCCACGTGTGGTGTATGAAATCCCCACCCACCGCCAAGCTCCCTGCAGGCCCAATCTATGCTGAAAACTACTAGATCCTACCATTTCTAAAATTCATAACAAGCAGGGGGTTTATAGTTTCTAAAAAAATCATCCCACTTTTTCCTCTTCCTCCTTTTCCATTGCCACCAGGCATTCTGCTAAAGTGTGTGAGCTGTCTGATAGGCAGGCACTGGCTCGACACAGATAGTAACCAATAGCTGAGGGAAAAGCAGTTAATGATTCTAAAGCTCCAGGTCCAGCTCTCCCGGTCCTCTTTAATGTTACATAATCACTTATCAGCGCGCTAGGCTTGGCTCTGGGTGTGTGTTTTGCTTACTCTGTGGGAAAAAGGCGGCATGTTGGTGTATTTTACCCTCAGAAGATTGTCTACGCTACTGTGCCGGAACACGAAGTGAAGCAGCCGGGGTAAAAGCAAACTGCTCTGCTAACAAAGCAGCCGACTTCATCTTCCTGCCTGACATGCTGCCAGCACATAATACATCAACTAGCCTCATCTGTCTAAAGTAGGTCAACAAAGATAGCATTAGGGTTTCAAAAAGTCAACGTGCTGAGACATCCGACTTGTAAAAACTTTCCCAAAAGCAGTTAACCGACTTATCAGTAAGAAAATATTCCATCCTCCTCCTTTTTCCTTTGGTCAAGTTATTGAGCAATCCTGGCCCTCATTTCAAGCTCTGGCGCTCTTAAGGCACAGTGTTTCGAAACGATTCTGGATGAAACACCAAACATGCGGTCAGTTAACTAAGTACGCCCCCACACCATTCATGCACAAACCACTGCACAGCTGTAGCCAGATGGTGAACTCCTGTTCTAGCCAGGGCTTCAAGAAAGGCAAGTCAGAGCTGGGTACAAAAACTGTCTGCACTGAATGCCTTTATGGCCACAATTCTAGTGCCAAGTTAGCCTCTACCTCGGGCTGAATACACAAGAGCTGTGCACGTGAATACGGTTCAGTCAGGCCCAGAGTCGTATGGACTGATTTCACAATGTAATGAGATGCAAGGTTAAATCTGAAACCATATCGAATGACTGTATTCCATACAATTGATGCCTCTTTCACTGATACAAAACTCAAGCAGCAATAATATGAAAATGAAGCACTTCTTGGCCTTTCCATACCTGTTTCTGGGGACAGGGATGTGAGAGGAGGGGAGGGGTTGTCTCTCTGCCTGTGGTACATTCTGCCCTTGCGTTGCCCTGAAATTGCTGGCCAGCTCTGCCTGTTTTCCTGGGTTTCTGATGTCCAAATGCATGAAGCTGCCTGGCAACTGCCCATTTAAGCCTGGACAGGGAGTCGGACTGGCCCTCTTCAGGATCCCAGCGGAACCACTATCCTTTAGGTCCCCGAGGCCAGTCTAGAAAATGAAGCAAAAAACCCACATAAACCAGTTTAGCATTACAGGGCATTATATTTCTGACTTATTGGAGCACAAAAAGATCTTTGTTCATTTCGCAGTAGCCCTCAAGGGAACCAATGTCAATAAATCCCACCCTAAAAATCCCAATTACATCTAAAGTTTTTAAAAAGAAATAGTTTCAAGCAGTGTCACAGTGTGGCTAAGACGTATGGCCCGGAACCCCGAGTCAAACTACTGTGTTAATATAAACCAGTGTTTAAGCCTTTTTCTGTTATGGTCCCTCTCCAGAGACCAGAAGAGGTCCACTGCTACTTTAAACGCAGTATTTCAATCAATTATTAACAACAAAAGGATAAGGGGAAAAAAGTGACCGCTTGAATCTTAGCGGGGAAAGAAAGTCAGCATAACACCTCAAGGTAAGTCTTGCTTCACTGACCCAGTAAAATCGTGTTAATTTAACATAGTTTCTTTTAAGATTTGTTCCCCCCTGATAATCCACGCTCCTGCCCCACCCCCTGCTACAGTGACTTTATACCCCAGAGGAGGAACCGGCCAATTTTAGACCAAAATAGCTCAATTATAACCACAGTAACAGCAAGTGAATGTGTCATGTCAAAGGGCATGAGGGTACTCCCCTATGTGGCACTCAAATGCAACACAGATAAATACCACAAGGTTTTATTCAATTCTCCACAAGGTGTTTTTAGCAGTAAATGAGGAAAATAACATGCCTGGACTCTCTCACATTCACACAATAGCTTAAACATATATAATTTTTATCCGTGTTACCAAAAAGAGATTTTAATTCGGTGGTGTCTAAAAGAGCCGGGCCTCGCCGAGCAGCCAGGAAGCCCACGTTGTAGCTCCACCCTGATGCCGTGGGGGGAGGGGTAGGACATGTAGTTTGGAGTCCCTGCCCCCCTATTTTCTTTAAACTTTGCACCAAAAAAAAAAAAAAAAAAGACCCGCCATTTAACACCGGTTATACCAGAAGTACGTGTCCGGGACTACGCTTTTCAAAAGTCTGGACGCCTTAACCGTCCGTCGACTGTCACCGCCAAATAAAACTGTTGCAAACAGCACGGGCCCCAGACAGTTGTTCCCCCGTGCACGCGCCGCTCCTCCGGTCAGGAGGGCACCGGCAGCCGGTGCGAACGGCCCAAACTTAAAGCATGACAGCTTCTTCCTCCCGGCTTGATATTGTCTGTGTAGTTACTCAGGTGTACGGACGACTCACACACACAGACACACACAACACTCGAACAGCACTTACTTTTTCCACGTCCTGCAACATTCGGCCAGCCGGCGGTGCCCCGTTTCCGTTGGAGTGGGGTCTCTCTTTTTTCCTCTCTTCCGTTAAGCCTCCGTCCATAACGAATTTGTACAGGACAGGCCCCTGTGTGTACGCCGGCATGGAGCTGCTTTTCTCCACTGAGGGGACCCGGCTGTCGCGGAGCACAGAGCGGCCTACCCGGCAGTTAAAATCCGCCCCGCCGACCCGCGTCCCAACCGACGACTTCTCGAAAATATATTTAGACTCCATATTTAGACAGGGCGAGTGGAGACTAAAGAAAGAAAACCGGCTTTTTATAGAATTTAGTGCAAATTGCTGGAATTAGATACATTTATCAGGATTGTCGCGAGTTGATAGGAGCTGTCTGTTTTGTTGTTGTTGTTTTTTTACTTCTATTCTAGACTACATGTAAAGTTTTCTATCACCGCCGCCACCACAGCCACCCAGCATATCCAAAAAGCCGCCCGGTTAGGAGGATAAAAGATTGTTTTGCCTCTTTCCTCCAAACCAATGCCACGCCCCCTCTGCTGCAATCCTATTGGCCCGCCAAGTACATAAACATTACACTTTGGCACGCATCCGCGGCGAAACCGCTTCTGATTGGCTACTTCAACAGTGCCAATCATGTTTTTTTCCATATCCAAGTAATGTGGGAGGAAGCGAGGAGGGGGCGTGCCCTCCAGTTTACCGGCCGGTGTCTGTCGACGACGAGCCGGGTGTGCCAAACAGGCGAAGAAAACATACAGGCCCCAGAACCAAACTGCGTACTTCAGTTTAGGCGATTCAAACGACGATTAAGAGGACTACGAAGAGAGATAAATGAACTGTACTTTAACAGCGGGTTATGATTTGTCAGATTATACCCGCCCCTCCCCCTCTTTGACAGCTAAAAGCCCCTTTTATTTGGCAAGTCAAATTACTGTTTTAATGTAATACAGATTTCTAAAATGTGTGCACAACGACATTAAACCTTCAACAAAACAATGTAATTAAAGAAAATAGATTGGAATTGATTTATTATCATGTTTTTCTGTCATTTTGATAGTTTATGATCATGAATTTATTCAATTGTGATGTTGACCAAATAGCAATTTTGCAAAGCCAGGCATTAATCATGCATAACGTTTCACTCACTGTGTATAATCCTGACTATTTTTCATTCGATTACTTACATTTGACTGCCTGTACTGGAAAAAGCCCACAAAATATTTGATTAATTATTACATGCTGTGTGTATGTTCAAGAGACTTTCTCCAGAGTAAGCTGCTGGAGACAGTGAATTCATAAACCTTACTGGATGAAATTTGTTGACTACAGATACAGAATGCACAACAAATATCCACATTTTTTGCCAAACATTTAACTTTGTAATGGAGGCTGGGAGTGTTGGTGCTTCTGCAATCAGGAACTAATCTGTGGTGTTGCTTAGTCTTTACAAAGCAATAAGATAGAGTCAAAGGAAGCATGTTATAATGTGCAACTTTATTAGAAAAGTAAAAACTCACTTTAATATTTTATGAAGGGTAATATAAAACATTACAATCTTCTGCATATCTGCACTGTCACACTATATTTATTATATTTATTATTTTTAAACTAAACCCTGTGCTTTAAGAACATATAACATTGGCTACAGCTGTCACAGCAGTATTGGCCCATAATTATATCATAAGACAATTAACCAACAGCATCTGTATCTGCATGGAAAGCATGGAACATGTTGCATCCACAAAGTACAATGTGTCTGTGATAACCATCTTCTTTTTGTCAACAAATATACTGTATAGTGTATGTTACAATGCAACAACATCTGAAGAGCGACAGAGTATATTACACATTTACATCGTCATACTATTTGTGCAGTGAACATCTGTCTCAGTCAATGTGTAACAGCGTTCAAAAAAGCATTTCAGACCAGTGCTTTCTCTCGGGATAAAGAAAAAGTGACACATTAGGTAAAAGCCACAGACAAAAGGATAGAGTGTGATGGCAATTTATAGACCACACTGTTCACGTGAAGCCTCAGAACTTGTGGAGCATCTCAGCTGTTGTCCTTTTCTGATATCTGACAATAGTTGAGTCGTTTATGCATTGCTGATATCAGGCTCAGGTTGGCCTGACCCATTGCCTCTGCCCTATCCTCGACCCACATATCACTCCCTCAGTCCCTCAGAACTGGACTTCAAAGGCCCCTCTGCTGCACAGTGCAGGAGAAAGGTGAAGAAAAAAAGAGAAAGGGCTGTGTTACTGGAGGATGGATACAGCTGAGGGTGGGATTTCATGCATCTGCTGACCAAGTGGAAGCGAATTGTGCTTCTTTCCTTAAACTTGAATTGCAAATGGCTGGATGCTGCTGTGTGTTTCTGTGAGCGGGAGGGGGAGTCTATTGAGTCTGTGTCCATTTGCAGTGATCATATTCCAACATTACACTAGCTTCCACAACTTCCACCGAAGCTTTAACTATTTTTTCTTGTTCCCCCAAAGGAGTGAATAAAAAAATGCTCCGCCATATACTCGCAGCAGTTCCACCGTAACTCTCTCTTGCTTTGGAAAAAACTGAATGCCGCTTTGCATCACATGGCAAAAAGTACAACAGAAAAGAGTTACAACACATAAATTAAGTACCACAAAATCTGTTTTCATCTCCACATATCAAAGCATGCACTTATTTGATCAAGCAGGAAAAATTGCATCAACAACATAAACATACTGTTTTCATGGCAGTGGTGTGAGCTATTCAACCGACGGTTTCTTCATAAGGAAAGATTGAAAAATAAACAGTGCATTAAAGTACAGTGTGCATTTGTTTTTACATACTTTCTGACAGTAGCACTCCTTAATTTATTTTACAGACTTTTTTTAATCGAGTTTGTTTCACAGTAAGTGAGCACTTTGTTTCCCTCCTCACGTATTGTCTTCCTGCCAATATTTTAAGACCGAAATGTTTTTTCTTCTTGCCTTCTTTCTTTTTTTAATGTCTCCCAAAGCTACATGGGAAAGATGTTGTTTGTAATGGAAGAAAAGTCAGTAAAGAGGCAAGAAACATGGGGAAAAGGAGAGGGGCAACTTTCCAAAGGACACTCAATGGTAATTTTTATGCAAAACTCTTTATTTTCTTTGGAGTCAAAAATCTTCTCTTACTATTTCAACCACAAAAACCAAGTCTGGTGAGCTATGTGGAATTTTGGCTTTGACTTAAAACCAGAAACTGAGTCAGAACTAAGCTCTGATACACTGTTTAGAGCATGCTAACACACAATTAAGCTCTGCAGCTGTCCAGGGCAAAATTACAATGGTCATAAAATCAGATTTTTGTAATCTTCGGAGGATATGAGATATTATTTGCCCAGAGTGGTGCATCCTGTGTTGTTCTGGACAATTTCTCATTCTTTGTATATTAAAAATAACTTTTATATTATTTATTCTTTTAATACAGTTGATTTCCCATTGTGAAATGTCACTGGGGAAAATCTTGCACAAGCCACTCACTGCCCCTGACCTTACCACTTCACCTTGCATGACTCTGCCAAATATGTGTGTGTGAGCGTGTGAGTGGGGGGATATGTTGAGATGTGTCAACATGCCTCAGGCTACAGATGTTTGTCAAATTTAAGTGTGGATTTTTAAATGATCTTTATTCAGGATGATTTTTATTTGAATTTATCAGAATTAAAGTATAGGTTTTTTTTTTTAAGTATTTGAATTACTGTTACTAGTAACTTCTACTGAGCTTGGGGCACAATGGTGATGATTTGTGGTAGACAATAACCTTAATTTACTTCTGTGTTTGAGCAGGCTGCAAGTTATAGTCTTATGTTTGAACAAAGCTCCACAATGCTGTCTGCCGGGCAACAGGTCAGCGTGCACTGCAAACCTGTTTCATGTTTGTTTAGGGAGAGCAAAGTGCCACCAATATCTGTGACATACATGTGCTTATGTTGCTCATGTTCCTCAAAAATGAGGTGTGTGTTTGTATGGATATCTCATAATCCTTAAATATACCTTTTCATTGCTACTTCTGTCTATTTTCATGTGTGTTTTTGCGTGTATTTGCAAAATGCATGCACTTTTTTTCTTATTGTGTGTTTTTCTCAATTTTTGAATTACACCACAAACTCTTAAGAGTACAGTGTTCATATAAAAATAAAGATATTATGGAAAATGATGCACAAACAGGCGAATATGGCCAGTGACACAGAACATTAATGTATATTCTTGTATTTTTTTCTTTACTTGGACATTTTCGTTCAAATGTATTTGGTCCATATTTGAACTGGACTAGGCTTAGGCTGGTTCTGAAGTACAGACCAATCGAAGAAAGTCTGAACCTGGATTAAGACCCTGTTTGTACCTGATGTCAACACAAAATGGATCCTCATGTTGATTGATTATAGTGGGCCTGCCTTGTGTCTATGTACAGCGAACTGAAGGCTGGTGAACAGGAAGACCCCTGGAACATGTACAGGTAGATCCTGGGCCATCTCTGCCTGCCAATGTGCTACAGGCCGGTGACATACATCTCCATCCCATCATTGAACGTGAAAATGGTGGTAGTGCTGGAGCTGTTTCCTCCTTGTTTTACGTCACTGATGGTCTCATAGAAGTTATCCCCGCCAGGGAGGCTTCTTGCTGGAGGAGCGGGGGGTCCTGAGCCTTGAGGTGCTGTTGGTGCTGCCTGCTGCTGCTGCTGCTGTGGGTTCTGCTTCTTTCTCTTCAGAGTGGCACTGCCCCCACCTGTGCTGTTATTGGTTCCCCCTTGCTCGCGTTTACGGTGCATGTCGACACTGGCGTACGCAGGGTCTGACTCAGCCACTGCAGAGGACCATGACCTGTCTCCTACCGGCTCATAGCAGGGCTCCTCCTGGGACCGTGCCTGGCCCTGGACACCTCTGCCGCGGCCTCGAGAACCCTGGTTTCCCCTCTCCCCTCCAAAGGAACGCGGGAGGGTCTTTGCTCCATTGTGCTCTATAGGCGGTTTCTTTTTCTGGGTATAACATACAATAGAGTAGGTGTCTGCAATCTGAGAACACACACAGGAGGAGAGCAGAGTATGGTGTCCGTTAAGGAGTTTCCAACACTGAAATACAGACCAACTCTATCCTCTCTGTTAAAGGTGAGAAATCGTGTTATTTTGATTTGACTACTTATTCATGTGAAAGCATACATATTAGTAAAACCACTGTACAGCCTATACATGTTGCAATGCATTCAGGCATAAATGTGTAATATTTTTCAAGTCTCAAGACTCAGAGTTAGTTATGAGATCATCCAGTTTTAAAGTTTTTAGACCACACTACTGTAGTACAGTAGTAAACTACTGTAGATTTGTTGTGTGCAAATGCAGGTATGGGCACAGTTTGACTTAACAAAGCCTGGTCTATGCTGCAACCTGACCTTTTTTGATCAGTTAGGATAAGAGAGTGCAAACTGTGTTATCAGTCAGTTGAGTTCTAGGCTGGGCAGAGCTAGCTCCGCAGTGGACAAACCTGTTAAAATTTCACCACAACTGCTTTGGCAACACAACCGAAGGGTATGGTGTGAAAGATCTGGATGACAGCCAACTTGCTGAACTAGCAAAAAGTTAACCAATGGATCCTAGTGCTGCATGCACTCCAGAAGTATGAATGCAGCTCATTCATAAACCCATCTTCCTGTATCTGCATGCTTACCATGGACTCACAACTGAAAAGCATGCTTGAGGAATTCTGATAAACCAGTGGAGTGACCTCTGGTATTTCTGTGTCAAAATTCCTCAAGAGGAGCTCAATAGCAGAGGATTGCAGGGCATGGTCTTGTTTACCTTCTGTGTTCACACCCAGTCCACCAGCTCTGCTCTACAAGCCCTGAGAACACTACCTATGCAAACTCTCTCTGTCCCACACAAACACACACTGATTAACCTGCTTTCTGTCATTCTCCCAAAAACATTGGCAGCACAGACACATTCAACAGGACTTTTCCTGTTTGTGTGTGCTCCCCTCGCATTATATGTCAGGTACATCGGTTAGGCTGGGTAAAAGTCCTTTAAGTACAAATCAATAAGACTTTGTCAGGGAATTTCTCTTCACCCTTTCTTTCTCTTCCTCTGTCAAAGACTGATCTGAAGCAGCATACATACCCTGCCCCCACAAATCTCTTGTGTGACCTTTCTGGATAAACAAAGACCCTGGCGTATGCTGTAAGTGTGTGCAGACAATGTGCAATGTGAGCGTGCACACAGAATGTGTAGCTTTGTGCAACAGAGGAAGGAAGTCACAAGATGATGGGGATTTCAAAACTGAGCTACAGCTGTTAAGGAAGCCTGCCACTGAATGTTGGTTTCTACCTCCCTCCTATCATGTACTTCTCTCCGTTATGTTTTTGAACTCTCAGTTTAGAGCTTCAAAAAGTAACACTTTCTGCATATAACATCAGTGGAAAACAGTGATGTGCATAACTGCTGTGTCTGTTTGTAATAAACCTTCTGAATGGCAAATATTGCAACATTTTCCAAACAGCTTTTCAGTAGTTGACATTCATCTGGTAAGGCATGCTTTATTAAACGTGATTGGCTGTAAAGGGCACGCCTCCTAAAAGCCACAGAGGGAGTGGAGCAGAGGGAGAGGGAGCCAGCAGAAAGGAGGAGATTCGGTTGGGAGTGGAAATTCAACACCTTTTGATGGCTGCAACTGACAAACTGCAGAATACAGGGGCATGTTAGGGCAAAAACACACCCTTGAAGGGAAGAAACAATAACAAGTGTTGGAGAAAGAATTTTATACAGATGAAAAATGGAAAGAAAAGATGGAAAGAATAAAAAAGAAAAGTGAAATGAGAAAGGATGAAGAATGAAAAAAAGGCCAGCTGCACTGTGTACCACTTGGATTTCCAGAGGAGGAGTTTAACTGACTCTGAAGGACAGAGACTTAACCCCTTAATGTCCATGTACAGTAAACACATTTTTAAATTCAACATTAGCTGAGACAAAAAACATATCCAAAGTTTAACACTTGTCAGAACTGATGCTCTGTGACCTTTCCCCATCTCACAGAATATAAAAAACATTGCATTCATCTTCTAATCTATTAGATGATGTCTGCAAGGGCAATGGAACATTAGTAAATCATTCCAAAGAAACAGAGCACATGTCAAAATACAGACTCAAATACTAGTCAAGGTAAGTAGATATGGTGCATAAATAAATAGTGAGAAGGGAACTCTAATATTAGACAGTGGTCTATTTCAGGGGCAACTGCCCTACCCAGACTGGCTGACCCTGACCCCCAGGCATGACAAAAGTTCCCAAGCTGTTTATAGTCCTGTCAGTGTGATACACTGGGTACAGCGGAGTGAAAATACAGAGAGAAGTTTGTTAGTGGAAAAGTCGGGGTGGAACCGCTGCATGTGGAAGCACAAATGGGAGAGAATGTGACATGATCAGTGAGTGCAGACTTCCCCTTCTCAACACCGGGCTTGCATATATGTGTATATGTAGATCGGTTTGTGTGCCACATCTGTGTCAAGACTGATCATGTTAAAACAGCAAACCTGTTATTAAATGTTCCACCAGTACTGAGCAATGATTAACATCAAGCAGCAGGTGATGCTTATGTTTGATCCGTCTAGATGCATGTTGAAGAAAGATGAGTTAAAGATGAGTGGGGGTGGGGGGGATTGGGGTCAAGGTTCAGGGCAGCAGTTGGGGTGCGACAGTCTTGTAACATAACCTCTTTCTGTAAGCAGAAACTTGTATGACAGGCAAGTCGTGGAGCAACAGCTTTACGAAGGTGTGACCAATTGCCATTGCCCCCACCGGTAAACACAGCAAACATCAGAGACCTGTCAGTGAATACCATCTGCTTGGCGTATTTAACCCCCAGTTTAATTCTTCCTGCACCCCAGCTACCGACTCAAAAACATGCAAATGCACACCTCTTTTGCAATTTGGGGCGATGGGTGAGCCTGTCCATTGTCTGCACGCTGTGGTGGTGGGTGCAAGGTGATGATGTCATCTTCCTCTGGAGGCTTCCAGATATACTGCTCCCCATTGCCCATAAACACAGCCTCCTGATCAACAAAAGTCACATAGGGAGATCGGGATAGTTGGTCATTAAAGGTTTGATCTGTGAACCACAATGCACAAAGATCATTCAACAACTTTTGACACTCTGTTTATGTTTCTTCTTCTTTGTCTTGAAGAAATGTGAAGAAGTTACACAGTGTGGGTGAGTGAGACTGAGTCACTCCCCTGTGGTGTGGGGTCAATGCATTTATTTTCACTCATTTATAATCTCTGATTTATCACTTGTAAAGATAGTAAATGGTGTTTTCTTTACTTCTAATGTACTTTGAAATATACCTTTCTAATCTACAAGGAACAGGTTCAGAAGGAGAAAGGATGGAAGTAACTTCCCATAGCAAAGAATACTCCCTTCTTAAATTAACTGGGCATGTTCTTAAAAGAACATAAAATTACCATGGAGACTGTGTTGCGCTCATGTTAAAAAATGTTTTCTTTCCCGTTACAGATAGTTCTTAGTTCCTCCTTCCTCTGTGACCAACTGTTCTACAGGGTTTTATGCAAATCTGCTCACTCAAAGATATCCTGCTGACAGACAAGCAGACCCAGCCAGACATAACCTTGAAATCAACACCATAACTGATCCTGTGCTGTACACAGGTATCTAATGCAAACCTGGAATCAACACAGGGACCAGCTCTTGCAAAAAATCTCTATGACTTCTGGTGATCGAGACCAATTAGTATCCAATTAGATCACATCGAGTGCTGTTTTCATATGCGACCAAGGATGATTACATTTTTATATGTTCTTCCTGTGGGCTGAGTGAGTAATAATAGCCAGAGCGCAGTAAATGGCTTCAATATGTGCACAATATTTATCCTGACACTGGCTGCTGGCTACCTGTTAGCTTTTTCTCGATAGACTTGCTGACAGGTTCAACAGGATGACACACACATATATGAGAAACACACACTGGGACACACACAGGCCGCTGGGCAGCCTGCCAAGTTCTTACATAATCTATCCTTTGACTCTTTACTCTAATATTGCGCTGCGCTGCACAGTGCAAAGGGGAGGAAGAGACACCTGCATGCACAGACGTACACACACACACACAATCAAGCGTGCAAAAATTAAAAGTGCAAGTCAGCAGCTAAAATTTGATTCAACAGTAAATATTAAACTAAGTAAACAACTGATCTGTCAATCTCCTCCAAAGACAAGATCCCCAATTCTTCGTTTTACTAAACATAAGCATGCATTAAAGATATGTGCTATCCAAACCACAGGCGGGGCTAATCACCTTCCATTCTCAATTCCTTTATTTCCCACTGGTTTACTCTTGTGTTTTTGGTCACATCTCAGTTTGGACATTTATCTATTAAGTGGATAAAAATTTCAGTATAAGAAATAATCATGGGGATATGAGGTAATATGATTGGATAGTTATTGTGGAGGAACACAGAATGCTAAGACATGAAACCAACAAAATCAAATCAATGTTTTAGGACGGACATAAATACTTTTTGTTTACTTGTGGGCAGCTCCATCTAGTGGTATGCAGACAGGCGTACAGTTGGGAAATGTGAATTGCTGGGAAATACATGACAGATTAGGTTATCACAGATCATTTGATAGTTGTACCTTTGGGAATGAGTGCAGGTGAAATGGCTCCAGTGGTTTGCGTGGAAATTCCTGGCTGCGATGTAGAGCAGGAGGACCAGCGGAGGGGGAATCGCTCACGCTTGATTGGCTGTCTGACTGGCTGTCAGCGCCGTTATTCTCCTTCCTGTTTAACTTGTCAGCCTGTAGGTTTCACATCACGAATGAATATATTTTACTCAAAGCTTTCAGAGGAAGATCAGAGCAAATAAAAATCCTTACATTTTGTCCCTTTAATGTGTTCTGAAGAGCATTAGTACTATGAATTGTATTGAATTGTGGAGCAGCATACCCAAAAGCAGTTAGCCAGACACCAAGAGATTTTTTTAACTTCTAAATGCATTTTGAAAAATTATGAACAACATTAAAGGGAACCAATTCTGATACTTTAACATGTTTGCTCCATGCAGAAGTTCTTCTGAAGAAGTAACAATGAAAATACCAGGCATTCATAAATAGTTTTATATAGAGACTTCAGTCTGTTGTCAGGGTTATTTCATCAGATAAACAACTATGTATTGCTGTGGTTACAATGTGATTTTCCAGTAATTTACAGACAAGAGTAATCCTAAACAGTACCACTGATTAAAGAATAATAATGCATCGCTAAGAATACCTTTTTAAACTTCCGTATGGAGGCGTACTCAGCAGCCGATGTATCCTGACTGACCAGGGAGTTGACAGAAGAGAAAGGGGACTTGTTTATCCCACTCGGCCCATTAGCTCTTACTGTCATGGTTCCATTAATGGTGCCATTTCCTCTGCCATTTCCTCTACCCCCCTGTCCCGAAAAACAATAACAAGACTTTAAATGTACATGTCACCAACAAATGAGAAGCACAAATCCAAAAGCACAAAAAACATCTCGAGCAAGCCTACTCTTTGTTAATTAGTCCAAGAGGTGCACCTTAAGCACCTAAAATCTATAAACAAGGCAGTGATACATTTCATCATAAAAGTTATACATTACATCTTTATTACAGCTGCTGAACAAATCGGTTGCTAATTTTTTGTAGTATTTCCAACTTTTTTTCATTTTTACCATTTTCTCATATTGATACAACATGTCAGCTGGTGCTTACTTAGTGAAGGCTTGCTAGTTTGAAACGTTCTCTTAGTACTGTTTTCTGGATACTACATTGTGGCTCTGATAGTGTGAGTGTTGCATTGCGTTTCATTGACATTTAAGTACGTTTTTACGTGTGAATGTACGTACGTTCCCGCTTCCATTACGAGCCCCGTTGGCTTGAGCCGATGGGCTCTGAGCTGCTCGAACTGCAGCTGGAGTGTTGGCAGATGTGGTTGCTGGTGCAGAGGGAACCTTCTGGCCTGCTTCACCTTCCCGGACACCTACGCTTTCATACAGGCCATCGTCCAGGTACTGGATGGGGGTGGGGTTATTGCGCAAGCCCACCTCAGTATAGGTGTGGTCCCTAGCATCCCCCCCTCCACCTCCGCCTTCGCTACCGCCTGTGTCCCCTCCTCCGCCTTGACCAGTTTCTTGTGGACTGGTGGGAATCTGAGGCAGCTGGCGACCATGGGAGGGCCTCAGGTCTGTTTGGGAGCGCCGGCTGTGGAGGAGCAGGAGGTCCATACTGGCTGGGCGGCTCTTGCTAACAGCTACACAGAGATAGGTGAGAGAGAGGAGGGAGAAAATAAAGTTGAAGGGGACGTGTCTGATAATGTAGAGCTCAGAGAAGTCTATAATTTACAATCACAAAGGAGCCGTTAGTCACCACATACAGTTTCCATTGCAGGGAAAGCGATTGATTTCATCCAGCCTGGTGTCAGATTTACTCATGGAGTTCAGCTTTGGATGCCGGAGTGTGCCCTGCTGTCGTACACATACAGACTTGTTAATGGAGGCATAACACATGCAAAGCATTTGCATGTGCATCTGTGAACAGAAACCACTCTGAGGAAGAGTGGCAGAAGAAGCTGGAGACAAGGGAGAGTCGAATGAAAGCCTGTCTTACCATATTTACAGACGTCCCTTTCTCTCCAGCTGGGGGATGCTTGCTCTTGCTTTTTCTGACATGACATCAAAGTAAGAAAGGTCAACAGGAGCCGGTGGACAGAAAGACAAAATACACCCTCTCAGAACAGATACTATCAGCCTCCAACTCTGGTTAGGGAACAAAAGTCCTTGGTTGATAACAAAAGCCCAGTCGCACAGTGAATGGAGCGTGACTCAGGCTTTTGTTAAAGCAAAGATGACCTTCAGTGTTTTTTTTTTTTCGTTTTTAAAGACAACAGCAACAGAACTCACAGTACTTGTCTTGCAGTCAGCTACATGTTGGTTTACTTTGGTTTGAGTTTTGTAAAGCAAATGCATCTGGATAAGTGTTAAGCTGCACTGTGGATCCCTGGTGGAGCCTGTAGCCACAGGAAACAGTTGATATGGTGCGAGAGCAACGACATGAAGTAAGAAGACAAAAGCTGTTCAGCGCAGGTGTGAATATGAGAGCTGCTCTACCCCCTCGTCTCTTTTTCTCTCGCTTCGGAGGGAACTGCATCGTGTGAGATCTTAGAGCTGCACCGCAAAACACAATGTGGCAAAAAATAGCATCTCCGGTTTGCAAACAGGTGCAGGAGGCGTGTGTCATCTTATTATGCAAGAAGCTTGAAATATTGTGTCAGATCAATGTTAGTGGAGCAAGATATTGTCTCCTCTGGCAAGATGGACTTCTTTGGTGCAAGCATATGGCCATTATGCCTTAAGGGTACAGTGAAAAAAGTGAGTGGAGATCCCCTGGAGATTTTTATAATATGATACAAGTGGGGAGCGGGGGGAGGGTCATGAATTAAAATGACAGGGCAAAATCAAAGAATGGTTACAATTACGTTAGAATTTTTCAACGTACCAGCCACAATACACATGTACTGTAATCCCTGGAATTTGGATGCATTGCAGTGGCTTATGTCTAAAATCAATAGAAGAAGATCAGTAAAGGCAGGATTGGTGTTCATACACGAAAATGTGGATTTGGACTGGAAAATGATTGAAGATCTAACAGCATCCAGCAGGGAGCTTAAACTCCATATTATTCTTTAGATTGGAACAGCAGCGCGGTTTTATTTCTATGACATAAGCTGGTTTGACATTTCTCTACATCCTTATCTCTGTATCCCATGGCAACAAAGCCATAGCACAGAATGTGATTGGTCCCTAAGGGTTCTGAGCGTAAAAAAAAAAAAAAAAACATAGGCCGCTCCACTGCTCTCTCCTGGTTCGGAGTGTGAGGCTGTTTACACTGTGGGGTGTCCCAGCGCTTTTGTCCGCTGACGACTTTGCTTGAGAGGGGTGACATGAGGCTGCATCGATGCTGGCCTGTCTTGTGCTTAGTGCCCTGTTAGCATCATCTCATCTGATCTGACACTCACAGCCATTAACATTCATTACTGCCACTCTTCTCAGAAGCGGGGAATAAGGGAGGCAGAGGGGATGGGAGGCGGGAAGAAAAAGGAGGGAGGAGGAGAGAAGGAGAGGCTATAGGAGGGCAGGGAACGCTGTCTCTCTCTGTTCATTAAAAAGGAATCCGTAAAAATCCCAAATTTTGATTGCTATGTGACATTCTTACCTTTGGCAGCCGACGCAGACTAGAACGATAACGATGGTAACAACAAAGGCTGAGGCTGCTGCGATGGCTCCGAGGAGCAGCAGGTTTTCGTAGGTGTCCTCTGAAGTTGGTTCTTCGTCTGCCATGACACCCACTCCGTTTTTCTCCCTCTTTTACTTTCACTCGAACTCCAACACTGCAACTCAAACGGTCTGATAAGGGAAACCTGCAAAGTTACAGGATAACAAAAGAAGAAATGAGGAGGTGTAACGTGAGGGACACGTGAGATTAGACGATATTGAAAAAACATTCTGCACAGGGCTCAGTGAGAAATTGTGTGTGCGTGGTTTTCCCCTTTTATTTTGATCACTATCTTTTTGACACATCAATAGCTATTTCAGAGTCACTCAAATAATGTACAGGATATAGGACACCTTACATGGCAGCAGGCATCAGCACACCAAAAAATGTTCATCATTGAACGCATTATAATTAAAGAAAGGCCAAATGTGATTGTAGTATTCCCTTGGAGCCTTCACTGGGGCTTTCTGGTATATTTAGCAGTGGCTAGAACACTTTCCAGTTAGAAGACAACTCAATACTGACAGTGACATTTTAAAAATTTCAAGTAGTGGTACATAATGCAGAATTTCCACAAGTAGTAGTTAGTAGTAGCTGCACGAGACAGAGGACAGAATATCACTCCAAGTGCTCGTTGACACACAACGGTATACAACCTTTCCCCATAATCAATTTTGATCCATGTCAGACAAGATTAACTGCATGGAGATTTGCCTACGCCTCTGGATTATTGCAGATAGATTTGACTGCATCACGAAAAACTTTGTTGCTTCCCGCATGTCGTGTGTTAGGGCGGATCAGTGCCAGCCTCTTCCCAAATCTGTCCCGAATCAGGTTAGTTCAGTTGTTCGATTTGCTTCTAGTTCCAAAGCATCCTCAGATATAGCAGGACTTTACCCAGCTGTGTTAACAAGTCGTCATTAATCCAGCGACCCACTGCGCTCGCCATGTCTGAGCCTCACTAATCACACATGAAGTCAACTGAAAATAAAACCTTGGCAACCAGAGTGTGGACACAAAAGAGCAAACAGAAATAGACTGCGAAACAACATGCGCAATGCTTCGGTGTCCATAGGTTTTGTTGCAAACCTGGAACCCGATAACAGCAAACAGAAGACTGCAGGATAAACAGAAGTCGGCCTGTTGTCGGATCACCTGTCTTCCTCAGCACGGATTTGGTGTGTGCCAGCAAGTAACTTGAGAGAATTTATGTTTCTGTTGCGACAAATTACAGTTATCTACTGTGGTTGGTTAGCAGCTGACATTAACAATTCACATCCAAGTAATGATAATTACATACAGAAAGATATTTACTATTATAAATAAACAGAACATTTACAGCAGATTACCACCGTAAACTTTACTGTTGATATATGGCCGATGATTTAGTTATTTGTAACATCCTGTTGTAAATACTAAATATGAAGCAAACTGCCAAATGGTTGTTGATATAACAGAATTTTTACTTCCAGCTGGTCATATTGTAGTAAAGGTGCATTCAAATGCAAACATTTTACTCTTTACTGGCGGAATTGTTATAGCTGATCTAAGTCTTCCCCCTGGGACAATCGGCAAAAAAAATAATATCAATGTCTTTGGGAATATAATGAAACCGATATCATTGATATGTCTAGATGAATGATGTCCAATATAATTCCTTAAAATAATGCACTGTTGTAGGTCACATGGAGGTTAGCTTAAAAAATATATACTTTTTGTGGTGACAAATAGCTCACTGTATTAAGTTAACAACAGCTATTTAGTCATTAAGATAAGCATTACAAAGCTGCATTATTCTACTACTGCATTAGCTGAATTATTCAATTAGAATAATCTTGTACAGTTTTTTTTAACCCATTCTTAATATGACATCCTACTCCCATCAATCCAAATTAGTCACATTTAGTCTGACACAATGTTTTCTTTCGGCAGACTTGAGTTACACCAACTTTGCCATGACCTACATACGCACCAAGATCAATTCTGGTGCAGTACAACACCCAAAATGCCACTTGATAGCTATATCAATATGCAGGTTTCTAAAACTGACTTTGCATGCCGTTCTCAGCTTATCAGCAAGGATGTTTGCAGAAGTTGCGAAATACCGACCCTCCCTGCTCCGCTCAGTTCCCAGAAGCAGGGCAAGACACACAAGTGTCTTCTACATAGATTGTGCATTCCATCCGAAACAGAAACAACAGCCGCAATGGAATTAACGTATTAGATTAGAGAAAAAGTGCACCAACACAGCAAGAAGTGCACAGAAGCAGGTTGTGGCATGCTGTATATAGATGTGTAGTATGTCATGTTTGCTAGTGAGAGATTGTGGAATATACCAGCGCCAAACATCAGGATCTGGCTCTGGCTCTCTGTTTCTTGGAGATAAAACTGCATCTTTTTTTTTCTCTTTTCATGTCCTAATTTTTTTGTCCCTCTCTCTTCCTCTTGATTTCTTTCTCCTTCTCTCCCTCTATGTCTGTCTGCCTGACCCTGCAGATATGTGAGGCGATGCACAGCGAATGAATTAGCAGAGCAGAGGCCTCAGACAGC